GTGTCCGGGGGGGGGGGTGTCACATAATCCTCTTCTGCGACTTTCTGACAATGGGGAAACCAGATTCACTTAGCAACAGATGGACTAAGTTAACAACTATGGTGATTCACTTAACAACTGTGACAAGAAAACTCGCCAAATGAGGCAAAGTCACTTAACAAATGTTTTACTTAGCCATAGAAATGTTGGGCTCAATTGTGGTCGTAAGTCGAGGACTCCCTGTATGTCACTGTTTAATAGGCATTCCTTGGCCTTGCTTTTAGGAGGTGTGTCACACACACACACACACACACACACACACACACACACACGCAACTCTCTCGAAGTAAAAATAGTATCTCTCCCAACACTGCTTCCCTCGCAGTGGGGTAAGGGTAAGTTTGGGGTAAGAAAAAAGCAACTTTGGGACCCCAGAAGAGCGATAGATAGATAGATAGATAGATAGATAGATAGATAGATAGATAGATAGATAGATAGATAGATAGATAGATAGATAGATAGATAGATAGATATACACATACATACATACATACATACATATACATACACGGGCAGAGAATTTAAAGCTTGGTGGGAAAGACTCTCCTTCCCAATCCGTGACAGTGTCAGTGTTTCTCAACCTTGACAATTTTAAGGCATGTGGACTTCAACTCCCAGAATTCCACAGCCAGCATTGCTGACTGTGGAATTCTGGGAGTTGAAGTCCACATGCCTTAAAATTGTCAAGGTTGAGAAACACTGGTTGTAGCTAAAGAGAAATAAAAGGCTCACACAGACCCGCACCCAATCTCGGACCACCACGCTTAGTTTTTTTCAGAGGGTCCGCTGCTTTTCCGAAGGTGAGGACGGGTCGTAGGGGAGGATGAAGGAGAAAACTTTTCCCGCAGTGTGGCGGATGGGGTGGGGAGAAGTCCGGCCCTGAGGAAGACACCCTTCTTTGGGAGGCTGCCGCAGAGGAGGAGGGGGAAGAAGGGAAGTTCAGAGCGCCCCCTAGTGCCGACGGAGGGAATGCCCCCCCGTCCCCGACGGCAGAGCCAGAAAGGGTGAGGCGAAGTCGGGCGCAGCGAAGTCGGTCCCTCTGGCGCTGGGGGACCGCGACGGAGACAGCCGCGTTTCGAGAGAGGCTGCAACGGAACAATGCGCTGGGCGCCAAAGGTGAATCAGGCTCTGAGGAGCTCGATCAACTCTTCCACCAGTTTCGTTGGGACGAAGAGAGGGAACCGGGGCTTGGAGGAAACGAAAGGAGCGGTCCCAGGTACGCTCAGGGTCGAAGGCTGTGGCTTCGGCGTAGGCGCTATTAAACGGATCCTTTGGGAGTCTCCAATTAGTTGCGATGGCCAAGAGGCTTGGTGGGAGAAGCGGGCGGTCTACGATCTCCGGGCAGGGATCCTACTAGCGTACAGTCCTCCCTGATGCGCTCAGGCTGGTCGAAGAATATTACTGGGGGATATTTAGCGTTCGCGAAGTTGAGCTGCCTTCCGAGTGACTTAACTTGCCTTAGGGATGGAAGCACCCAGAAGAACCTGTGCCGCTCTGGGAGAAACATGTGGTAGAAGGCAGGAGCTCGAATTGTTTGGGCTTTCTTATTCCTCCTGAAGCAAAATAGCTGCCCCCTTTCTGTAAGTATTATCGGGAACTGTTAATTCTAAGAATCCCGGTAACTGGGCGAAAAATTGTCATTCAGACGCTCTTCCAATAGAGCTGTGAGGTGTCTGTCCCCTCCAATACTCCACACCTGTTGGAGTGACGTTTTAACCCAACCTGACACTATTTTATTCCCAGTTCTGCCTTCCCAGAAGTCAGTTATTCCCTGCCTTCTACCCCATGTCCCAGTTCAAGTAGTGAACAGAGTGGTGAAATACTCCCACCACCCTATTAATAGCTTGTAAGTACTTTAGAATATGGCAGTTCTAATTTGCCTAAACTTCAGTCTCTGTAACCACCTCGCCAACGGGACTTTTGATTGTGTAGGTGTGGGGAGTGGGAGTTTGTTTAGCTGAAAAGCAAGACAGCCAAAGGACACAACTTGTGCAAGGGTATCATAAGTAAGGAGTATTGTGAACTTAACAAGTTATTTACTCCTGTACAACATCAGTGTGTGGGTGTATCCAATTAAAATTAATTGAGTAATAATATAAAATTTAGTTGATTAATTAGAGTTGTAGATCTTTTTTTTCCTCCTGAAGCTAGATTCTTATGTTGTTTTGATTAATACCAGTGTAAGTTGTGACAAGAACTATTTTTTGAAAAAGTCTTTTTTTCCAGTTATGTGAAGGAAGATAATGACTTTTAGACTAATGCTTCCCTGTATGGTGTTTAGCAATACATTAATGATTTTTAAATAATTTCTGATAACTTTTTTGTTAAACATTTTAACTGATGAATTTATCAATGAATTAAACATTGTAGTTTGTCAGCTTTATAAGTTATTATTGTTTCATACTACCACTAAAATAAAATTAAATAGCTTTCCGCCTTCTAGATCATGAATTCATTCTCCCTAATATGGATTAAATCCACTTTTCCCAAATTTCAAGAACACTAAATGGTTTGGTATCATCTGATTTTGCATATAGCCTCAGGTTACTATAGCTAGACAGTACATTTTTTAAATGGAGCAATCCAGTTGCAGTACCTATGATAAATGCAAGAGATATGCTTATTTAAACACGCATGCCTGCTGCAAAAGTGAACAGATATTCCAACATCAGAGGAGTTTGCTTCTCTTGCAAACTATACATAAATGAAAGACTTCTTTGTTGGTTTGTGCAGGGAAATTTTAAAAGGCACAGTACAATAATACCTGTATTAACGCTAATAAAAATTCCACAAAATAGAAATAATCTTTCAGGGTTTAGAAACCACTTTTTCAAGGTGATTATTATTACAGGACAGTAACTGGAAGGGGAGGAAAAAAATCAGCATGATGGTAATACTGTAGTTGTGTCTGTATGAATATTAGCACTTTTGTATAGCTAGCTAGCATGTAATTGATAATGGGTTCTGGTGAATACCAGTGGAAGTTTATCATGAAATCCCAGGGCCCAAAAGATTAAACAAACAAACCACCAAACAGAAAGCACTGGTGGCAAACCACATCCATATTTTTACCCTGAAAACTAGAGAGGCACGCCCATGACGTCAACAGGAGTTGAACTTGACTTTTTTTTTATTCTGAAGTAAATCCAGTTGAGATGTCTCAGGTCAGAGGATACAGTTGGAGGACAGGACATGTTAGCAAATTTGGGGAAAATCCAATATATACACATAATCAAGGAGTAAACCTTTTGATCTGGATCTAAGTAAACATACCTAGCATTGTGCTCTCAGATTAGACTCTTGGATTAGACTTAAATCTATAGGAATGAAATAAAGCTATTCTCCTGGTTTTTGTAAACAGTGTAAAACCTGAGTAATTGCTCTACATGCTACAATATACTTTTCCCTCAATCTCTATTATTTTGTTTATTGTAAAGTTCTAGAAGACAGAGAAGCATGTTGACATTATTTGAGGAACATTTAGTTAAATCTAATAATACTTTTCTATTGTACATGCTATTTGTAGCATAGATGCTAATTTCTCAGAAATAAGCCCGACTTGTTCTCATCAGCTTGTTCTTTCTTAAATTTCATGATGATTTCTGTAATCTAAAACATGGGTTAGAAGATTTATTGTGTTGGTAATATTAAATTAGACAGGTCTGTGCTGTAAATTTCAAGACTAAAAAAATTCCTGTTTATATGTTCAAAAAAAAAATAACAGTAAGAACAATGTAATTATGAATTAAAACAAAGAACGTGTTATAAAAATATTAAATATGATACTTTTCCATTTTCACTTCTGTCTGTTTATCCCTATAACTCTCTTACCTGTTTGTCACTATTATAAAAGATCCTTAATCTTGAACTATCTTTCACAGAATTACAAAATTGTTCTCAAGTTCCTTGGCTGTGCTAAAAATAAATTATATTGTGAAGATATTTTATCTTTGCCATTTAGAAGGACCCCAATAAGGCAATCCTATACTTGGCTGAAGAGATATAAACAGATGCCCGATTAGCACCAAATCAACATTCATCTTAATCAGAGTGGGAGAAGGTACTCTGGCACATGAGGCAACAGATCACAAACAGTAGAAATATAACAGTATATTAAATAACAAACGGTTGGCTTCCCTTGGTGATACAGGTAGGCCTCGACTTATGACCACAGTTGAGCCCACAATTTTGGCTACTAAGGGAGATAGTTATTAATGAGTTTTCCCCATTTTACGAGCTTTCTTGCCACAGTTAAGTGAATCACTGCATTTGTTAAGTTAGCAACATGGTTGTTAAGTGAATCTGGCTTCCCCATTGACTTTGCTTGTCAGAAGGTCACAAAAGGTGATCACATGACCCCGGACACTGCAGCAGTCATAAATCTGAATCAGTTGCCAAGCATCTGAATTTTGATCACGTGACCATGGGGATGTTGCAAGAGCCGTTAAGTGTGAAAAAAAGGTCATTAGTCACTTTTTTCAGGGCTGTTGTAACCTCAAATGATCATGATTAAGTGAACTGTTGTAAGGCGAGGACTACCTGTAGTCAAAATCTGCCTGAAGTAGCTGCCCCATTTTACTTTAAATAGGGAATACTTAAATACTTTTGGTTGGCTAGAAGTGAGCTACTCTGAGGTAAATGGGGCTTAATTCCAGGAAAGTGACTGCACTGTTAATATTAAGGTGACCAACTTTTTTACAATGAAAAAGAGGACACAAATAAATTGAAGAAAAAAATATCGTAAATAAAAGAAACATTTTATTCATTGCAACAATAATACAGACAACTTGCATGTGCAAAGTTTGCCAGCCGAGTATTTTGGCACGCTCTGCAGCAATTCCTATTGGCTTTCGAAAGCCAATAGTGGGAGTAGCACAGCTCATGCAAAAGTTGAAAAAAAAACCCATCAAAAAAAGGTGCCGGAATGTCGTTCTGAGCGTTCTATGAGGAAAAAAAAAAAACCTGCAGATTAGTCTTCAAATATCGAAAAGGAGGACATGAAGGAGGACACTTTTTGAGGGAGGACAGAACTTACAAAAGGAGGACTGTTCTCCCTAAAGGAGGACGGTTGGTCACCTTATTAATATTCAGTCTGAGTTGAGCTTTTGGTTGAAGGAGAGGTGCCTAGGAGGTTAAGGCCCTGTGGATTTTAGCTCTCCTTCTCTCTTTAAAAAGAATTTACTTGACTACTTGTTCATGAAAGCCTTACTTCCTTTCCCCATGTTTCTGTTACTTCTCCTCTTCATTGAAAGTACATATGTTGGGTTCTATGATAAAACACGTAATCCAAATCAGGTTGTAAATTTAAGAAAAGATTTTTTTCAAAATACAAGAGAAGTCAGTCAGGGCAGGAGAGAAATAACCGGCAAGACAAAAGAGAAAGTTAGGAGAGGCTACGTTAAATTGTACAGAAAAATTGGCTTCTCTTGCCTTTGGGTTCTGTAGGAGCTGATGGCTGGGAGCAAGAGAGGAAGTAGGGAGAGCCAGCTTTCATGGACAGAAATGGAGGGGCTAATCCTCTTTCCCCCCCCCCTTTGCAGATGCCTGAACGTGGAAGCAGCCGTTGACAGGATGTTTGCTATGCACCCCCCCAATGCTTCTCAAGCACCTGCCATTCATCTGGTGAACAGTTCCTCTTCAGATCATACAGAGCTGGTGAAAACGCCATCAAGTGCTTCTTCTCCTGCTGCCCCCATCTTCTCCATGACCTTAGGGGCAGTCTCTAATATTGTGGCCTTGGTAATCCTAGTGCAGTCCTACATCCGCTTACGGCGTCGTTCCAAGGCCACGTTCCTGCTGTTTGCCAGCAGCTTGGTTATCACAGACCTAGCAGGCCATGTCATTCCAGGCTCCTTTGTGTTGCAACTCTATGCCACACGGCGCGGTTGGACAGCCATGGATCCCACCAGAGCTCTCTGCCAGTTCTTTGGTGCTTCCATGGTATTTTTTGGACTATGCCCTCTCTTTCTGGGCCTCATGATGGCAGTGGAGCGCTGCATTGGCATCACTCGCCCTTTGCTTCATGCCACAGTGGTCACGCCAGGCCGAACGAAGCTTTCCTTGGTAGGACTGTGGGCCACTGCTCTTGCCATTGCCCTGATGCCTCTCTGCAGTTTTGGAAAATATGTTGTCCAGGCCCAAAACACTTGGTGTTTTATCAAGGTGCGAGAGGCAGAAGAATGGTCTGAGATAGCTTTTGCCCTGCTCTTCTCCCTTTTGGGTTTGGTCTCCCTGGTGGCTTCTCTCATCTGCAACACATTCAGCGGGTTCATCCTGGTGCGAGCTCGTCTCCGTGGTCAGCGCAAATGCGGTCGGCGGAAAGCCAAAGCTCATGACATTGAAATGGTCGTACAGCTTGTGGGCATCATGGTGGTCTCCTGTATCTGTTGGAGTCCGTTATTGGTGAGTACCAAAAAAACAGAAAAGGGGCAATGGAAACATGTAGGGTGCTTAGCCTGTATTTTGAGGCACAAAATAAGTGGGCCTCCTTCGGGTCCCGTCGGCCAGACAATGTCGGCTGGCGGGCCCTCGGGGAAGGGCCTTTTCTGTGATGGCTCCGACGTGGTGGAATCAACTTCCCCCCGAGATTTGAACTACTCCCACCTTGCCAGCCTTCAAGATAGCCATTAAAACTCTCCTGTTCCGGCAGGCCTGGGGTTGATGTCCCCGGGGGGGGGGGCGGGATACGATTGGGACATGCTGTATGAATGCACTCATTTTTATTGTTATATTTATTGTTTTAATTTTGTATGCCGCCCTGAGTCCCTAGGGATTGGGCGTCATATAAATGTTATTAATAAATAAATAAATAAGTGGGAAGTTGGCATGTATCAAACAAACCCTTCCCTAGTTCACATAAAGCTGGAGTGAGAAGGGAGATATATTCAGACTTTATAACTCTATAACTTTATAACATTATAACTCTACAATAAATGTAGTACTGATCTATATGATTTTGCTTCCTGGTCTAGTCTATTTTAAAGGGCTGTGATTGTTCTACTACCATGGTGGCTAAAAATTACATTAAAATACACGGAGAGCTTCAGACTGGGGAAACATAGCATAAGTGCCCTTGTGTGTTCTTGGAATTTATGGTCATATGAAACACAGCACCTTGATTATATAAGAAACTATTTGATTAGAGGGGAGAGAATGGTAACTGGAAAACTTCTTGAGCTTAAAAGTTTGGATCAAATTGACATTATGTTTGGGTATAATAGCCCAAAGAATGACCCAAGCAATCATATTCTGAATCAGTCAATTGACTCTGGGAAGCCCTTATCAGCGCACAAATAAAGGGCTGTGTTGTGAATGGTATATTTATTATGTAGGCTGAACTAATATGTACACAGAGTTAATGCCTGTTTCTAAGTTCTTAGGGTCACTGGGGAGGAGCGGATCATAGAAACCTACTGTCTGATATCTTGTTCTCTCATTTGCTGATGTCATATTGCTGCTTTTTTCCTCTATGCTGTTCCCAGGTCATTGTCATCTTATCAGTGAGCAACTCTCATAAAGCTTTGAATTATGATCAGCTGCTATTCCTTGGTGTGCGGCTGGCCTCCTGGAACCAGATCCTGGACCCGTGGGTATATATATTGCTGCGACGTGCAGTGCTGCGTAAGCTTCTGGCGCTACTTCTAAGGCGCCCTGACCTCAAAACAACACACTTTGACCGCTGGGAGGCCAGCTCCTTCCAGAGCTCCGAGCGCAGTGTTGCTGCTGGTCGCATCTAGTATTGGGTGGAGAAAGCAAGAGTTGATCTACTTGAAAGCACTTTGAACCTTCCTGGAATTCAGAATCCAGCAAACTGGGCGGCTGCTGGTGGTATAGGCAATACTACCGATAAATTGGCAGTTTCAAATCTTGGCAGCAGATACGAAGTTCAGTATTTTGAAGCAGCCTCCTGCCTGTTTCTGACTTTCTTATGAGAGGGGGAGAGACAGAGACAGAGATATGATCTTCTTGCGTGAAGGAGAGTAAATATATCATACTGCAAATGAAAAGTCATGATGCCCATGAATTCATTTTGATATGGTGGCTTCTATTGGACATCTGTGGAGGAGACCTTTGCTCAGAGGTAAAGAATACATTATACATTCCTAATACTTTCAGTAAAACAGAACTGAGGAAAAACTCTCTCTGCTCTCAAACAGTCATCAGTATCAAAAGGAGACAGTTCTTGACCAGGTAAACGGAAAGCAGGCCAGTATGTTTTGATAGGAAAATGATGATTTAGTGCATTTTGAAAGCCATATGTCCTTCCTGATACGGACTGCACTGTGCACAATGAACAGCCTGGTAATTATTCAGGCTATATTCCAAAGCTGAAGAATGTTACCTTTCTTGTATAGCGCAAGAGCAAGAGTGTGAATCTTGCTCTTGTGAATCATCAGGCGAGAAGACATCCCAGGTAGCCTCCTTCCTTGGACATTCAGCTCAGGTAGACCATCATCCTGCTGCACTTTCCGAGCCAGAGAGTAGCCATTCAAGTCCAACCCTGTCAGGGCAGCTATTTTAACGTGCTGCCAGAAATGATCTGGGTACTTGGAGCCTATGATGCAGATTTTCCACAATGTTGAGGCTGCTGCGTGTGTAAAGGAATTTGTGTCTAAAATTTGCCGTGCTTCCACACAAGGAATCTGATGCAATGTATCGTTTCACCATTGCATATAGATTGCACAAAGGCACGTGCTTATGGTTCAGGGCGGCCTTTAATTTAAACATGAATGTAGAAATTCTAGAGAACTCTTTCATGGGCCTCGTGGAGAGATTTAAAAAAGGCTGAAAAATGTGATGTCACGTGGCCTGCCAAATTCAGAAAGCACCTTTCAGAAGAGTAAGTAGATTCACAGCATTGTTTTCTCACAGAAGACATCTGCAACAATTCTGTCCTAGAATGGATTTCAACAAATTGTTGCTGATGATTCTACAAAATAATATCCTTTGGGAACCGGTGAGACTGACCCACAGACTGCAAGAGGATGCCTCTGTCTGCTGCTCTACTCTTAAGCTCTGGGAAGCTGGGAAGAACAGAGCAAAGGACAATGGGAAAGTCCTGAAATGATTGATCGGTAGGGGCTGGCTGTGGCATAGCCGTACCCTGTGGGAATTCTTAATCAGCACCAGGCACTCTACGATAAAGCACTTCAGTGGGGTATTCTGGCCCTTCATGCTTTATTTTCTTCAAGTCCCTGACATGCTTCCCACATGCTTGTCGTCAGCAGCCTGTGCCAGCCCAACTAATCTAGTCAGCCTCAGGGTCCCATTTATTGTTCCATGTGTTTTGTTTTCATTCAGTGACTGCTTATTGTCATCTGGCAGCTGGAGCATGTAAAATCGAGCTTGCAGAATCCTGGTTGAAAGCTGGCAAACAAGTGGGATCAAACAGCAGAAGGAAAATTATGACTGTTGTGGGAATTAGTTGGGGAAAAAGAGGTGAAGTTGGGAGATCTGTTGCTCCAGGTTCAAATATTCTGCCCCAGTCTACACACCTGGTATTGCCCTGCCAACCCTATCCTTCAATATGTTTGTAAACACACAGCTGTTTTGCTATGTTCCTCTAATATCTAGTGGGCTGCACCCACGTGACCCAGCTGCAGCTGAAATGGGTCTCTGCTGTTCATTGGCCTTTTAATAAATTATTTATTTGTGTGCAACATTCTAAAGGGCATGTTTGGTGGTGCCTTGGCTGAAATTCCATTGCTACACACAACACTTCGATTACTCCATGCACTATTTTTGCTTTTCTGTTGTACTGCCCACTGATTGAATTTTTAAAAATTTCCTTGAAACTGTAGGTTTACTGTTTAACTATTGACAACTAGTGGCAGCAAAAATTAATGATTCTGTATTACTTGACTGCCATTTAGTGCTTGTCTGAGTCTCTGTAGCTGCTAGATATGTTCTAGAGCAGTGGTGGCGAACCTACGGCACGCGTGCCAGAGGCGACACTCAGAGCCTTCTCTGTGGGCACGCGTGCCATTGCCCCAGCCCTGCCATCCCCTGCGGCCCCCTCCTCACCAGCAGCCCCCTGGAGGAGAGTCACCCCCAAGCGTGGCCTGCACAGAGCAGCATAGCCAATGACATGGCAGCCGGGCAGCGGGGACAAGACTCCGCCCTCACAGCCCATCACATGCAGTTGATGCTGTGGGGCGTGGGCGGAGGGTGTGGCCACCATGGCACTGCTGGGCCACCTGAGCAATGTGTGGCAGGCTATGGAGGCAGTGAGTGGCCCTGCAGGTAGGGACAGAGCAGGGGTGAGGTGGGGGCGGAGCAGGGGCAGGCTGGGGGGGCTGGGGGCGGTTTTGGGGCACTTGGTCTCTAAAAGGTTCACCATCACTGTTCTACAGGTTGAGAAAGAGGAATTGCTGTGAGAATCAGTATGGTAGCTGTAAACTATTTTAAAAGCTGCACAAGGAGCCGAGGCAGGAGATTCCCTGCCAGGCAGGCTACAGAAAGTACAAGATACACAGTGTCGCTATACAATGCCCTTATGCAGTGTCTGGAGGCAAGAGTCGAGTAAGAATTCTCAGTTGCAGGCAGAGAGCGAGATACAGACAACAATGTGCTGACATTCTTTAGAAACAGCCATCTTTATACCCAAGGAAGGATGTTGTATAGATATGCCCACATTTCACTCCCCTGAGCAGGTATTGCTCTCTGCAGCCTTCATAGAATTCCTCCTGCTGCAAGACGCATGCACTTTCAGTTTATTGGACATTCAAAAGTCCTTGTCGCCTAATAACACAGACCAGAGTTTGTTGAAATTCACCTTATTTACTAGTCCAAAGGCTTTGCTGTGGGGCTAAGAGGGGCCATAGGAACAACTTGGCTTGTAAGCAAGGTTGGAAAACCGCTCATCCTCCATTCCCTTGCGTTCTAAACTGGAAGCAATGCGAAACATTCTGATGCATTTGGGGGCAGAGGCCCAGGTAAATGGGAGGCTTTAATCCCGCATCTGAGCTTCAACGGTCAGCTTCCCGATTGTTACGGAAAGCAAAATGTTAGAATAAATGGACCTTGGGTCTGATGGAGAATGATTATATTCCTGCGACAGCTGCTTAAGCTTTGGCTCCCCCTTCTGACTACCACAGGTACTGCTTTAATCTTCGGAAAAACAAGAGGAATGGAAAAACCAAGGGGTTCCTGGCCACAGACAAGCCAGACAAAAAAGTTAAGTGGCACCCCAATATTACTCATCAGAATGAAACATGAGGGGTTTTTTTTGTGCTGAGCAGTGCAGATTTGCAACCAAGGAAGAGGGCAGGGTTTAGGGCCTCAAGCACCAGTCCTTAACATTAAAGAGCACAATAATTTGAGCAGGACCAAGACCATCCACTCCACTATAAGGGGGCCGTCAGTTATAGAGGTCATCATCCCCCTCCTCCTGGAAGAGGCTTCCTTGCCCACTGTTGCTGCCACTGCTGCCCCCTCCACCACTGCTCTGCTTGCCTGATGGAAACCTGTGGGGGGGGGGGGGAAAGGGGAAAAAAGCTAGTTCAGTTCAGGAGAAACCACAAGTTATTCACTCTACTTGAACGAATGGACGTCTTCATTGGAACTAGCTACCTATCACAGTGTCCAAGTGCAACTAGTTGTTCAGGAATGTGGCCCTGGATTAACAAAAGGACTGCAGTCAACCCTCAGATGCGTGCTGCATTGCACTTTTTAAAAAGCACAACATCCCATAGATCAGGGCTTTTCAACCTTTTCACCCATTGTACCACTTTTAGGAGTACCACCAGCCGCCTAGCAAGGTGTCAAAAACTTGATGACAAAAAAAAAAGGAAAAAAGTGATAAAGTACAGGTAGTCCTAGACTTACAACAGTTCGCTTAGTGACTGTTCAAAGTTACGATGGCACTGAAAAAAGTGCTCCCCAAGTCACTACCAAGCAAGACACCTGCCTGCCCGCCCGGCGGCACTCTTCCTCCTGTCTTCATTGTTGTGAGCATTTCTGTTGAGGATTGGAGGTGGGGGGGTTGGTTTTTATTCCTCCCCCATCTGCTGGGTGGTTGCAGCAGGTTTTGGTCACTTCCCATGACCCTGGGACACTGTGACCGTCATAAATATGAATCAGTTGCCAAGTATCTGAATGTAAATCACAAGACCCTGGAGATACTGCAACATTCCAGCTGACCTGGGCTCAGCAGAAGCGTCAGGATCACTGCTGCTTTCCAGCTGATTGGTGCTTCTTCAGGGCTCAGCAGAACCACCAGGATCAGCGCCGAGCTTCAGCTGGAGCCTGGTGCTGATCCTGGTGCTTTCACCAAGCCCTGACAGCCCCGAAGAAGCACCGATCATCTGGAAAGCGGTACTGATCCTGGCGCTTCCGCTTAGCCCTGACAGCCCTGCAGCTCCAACCGTCTCTCGCTCAGGCTTGTGCAGTGCTGCCACCGGTTCTAGGATGGTCGCGTACCACCTGCCAGGTGCCAATGTACCACAGTTGGTACCCGTACCACTAGTTGAAAAGCCCTGCAATAGATAGATTACTACGAAAGTAAAAAGACTATGTAATCCAGTATTGCACAAGCATGCCAAAGTATTTATTAAATTTATATCCCTCTTAAAAATAATGTTTTTTTAAAATTCTTCTTTAAGTAGATTTATATCCCATCTTTCTTTCAGGGAAATTGGGTGGGAATAGGAGATTGAAGTGGCTGGCATCCTGACTTCACTTTTACACACTGCTGCATTTTGTTGCAGACACTGTTTGTTCTGTCTATAAACTATTCTGGGTCAGGGATGCAACTCCCCCTGTTCCCTCCCCCCTCCCCTCCACCCCCAATGCTGTGGTGCCTTTATTTTATTTGCTTGGGGAAATAGAAGAAGCACAAACCTCTTCTAACATTACCTGAAGTTGCCAAAGCCGCGGCTCTGCTGTAACGTCTGAGCAAACATCTCGTATTTGCGTATATCGTTATCGCTGACTGAACGGCGTGCAAAGCGCATTGCTTCTTCAAAGTGATCCCGCCGGATCTCCGGCACCGGGTCATAATCATCATCCTGTTACAAGATACAGAAGAAAAGGCTGTCAGGCACACTGCAGCCCCAAGATGGAGGACACACTCTTGAGAACATTGCTTGAGAGATAAGGGGAGGAATCGGGTCTGGCTTTCGATGGAAAAGGGAAAATATTGTGTCCGTACCATGGCAGCGCACTTCTGATGCTGGCGTTCCCGTTCTGCCTTGATCTCCATCTCGATGGCCTCACGGATGGCAAGCTTGCAGGCACGCTGACAGATTTCGGTGAGGTCAGCACCAGAGAAGCCATGTGTGATCTTAGCCAGACAATTCAAATCTACATCCTGTTGGGAAAAGACATACAAGCTAAAGTATTACCTGTCCAAGTTAGCAAAGTAAGACAAAAATGAGAGGGGAATGCTGAGGGGCAGCAAAAATGTGTTTAAGGAGTTGACTATATGCCAATTAATTCAGCCTTCCATGGTGAAATCAGCATAGAAGGCAGTGGGAGCCACGGCTCCATTTTCCGTACTGGAGCAATTTGGTCCTGTCCATGGAATGAGCAGTGATAGTAATAGCACTTAGATTTATATACCGCTTCACAGTGCTTCACAGCCCTCTCTAAGCAGTTTACATAGTTAGCATACAGTATTTCCCCCAACAATCTGGTTCCTAATTTTACCATCCTCGGAAAGGTGGAAGGCTGAGTCAACCTTGAGCCGGTCAGGATCAAACTCCTGGCAGTGAGCAGTTGAGTTAGCCTGCAATATTGCATTCCAACCACTGCGCCACCACGGCTCTTCTGCCATCTTGTTCCTCACTTTGACACTAAAGAACTTCAGGGAAGACTGAGCCGCACACCCCCTTTAAAGATTGTCACAATCAGTCCTCCTCTACTGGACGGGTGACACCTGACTCTTGACATCTATTGCTGATTTAGTTTTACATGCCCATTTTTTGCCTGCTTTGGCTGACCTTGGCAATTGGTGATTTTCGCAAGTTGGCTTGGAGGATAGCTATGCGAGACTTTTCATCGGGTAATGGGATGTAGATGAGCTGGTCCAGACGTCCTGGACGAAGGATGGCTGGGTCAATGATGTCTGGCCTGAAAAGAGTTGGCAAAGAGACAACAGTAAGTTTCATGGGTTACTTTTCCACTAGGAATGGCTCCAGCATCTCAGCTCAGATGCTTTTTTGAAAGGAATGCAGCCCTATAGCAGAAATGGGCAAGAATAGGGGTCAAGGGGACAGAAGACTGCAAAGTTGGTGAGACTACATTCCAGGGGGGGGGGGAAGGAGAGGTGGTACAACCTTTGCAGGAAGTTTTGTTTTCAACTATAATAAGTTGATGATACTGATACTTTTCCTGTGTCTGTTATCTCAAAGACAGGATTCAATCTACCAGGTTGGAGAAATTATGGGCAAAGGGGGCCATAAATCAGATCTGAAGGTCATGTCACCCTGGCTTCCAAAAAAAATGGTCCTGATTTAACTTTTTCTCAATTACCTCTTAGTTCAGTCCCGACTCAATGACCAATTGACTAAAAGGGACTCTGGAGGAGGAATAGCTAAACTGGCTGCAGAACAAAGAGATGGGTATTGCCCATACATCTCCACAGCCCACAGAACTGGACCTTTCTTTCTTTAAATTCTCACCTATTGGTGGCACCTATAATAAATACTGTCTTCTTGTTGGTCATGCCATCCATTTCTGTGAGGATCTGGTTGATAACACGGTCAGCTGCACCCCCACCATCCCCTGCTCCGCCACCTCGGGCCTTGGCAATGGAGTCCAGCTCATCAAAAAATAGGATGCAGGGAGCAGCCTGGCGGGCCTGAGGAACAGAAGGACCAACATGAGTTAGATAATGAAGTATAGGTTTGGCAAAATGTGTGTCTTGTGTTCTAAGGCCTTCCACCTTTCCAGGCTAATGAATTTCAATTATGATGCTTCAATTACATGACTATCTCTTGGTAAAGTGTAGGTTGGACTGATGGACCATGAAAAACTAGTGGATTTTAAACCAGTGTCCTGAGACAATGATATGTGAGCAGCTGCT